GACAGGCACAGGTAATAGATGTGCACAGGTAATAGACAGGCACAGGTAATAGATGTGCACAGGTAATAGACAGTCACAGGTAATAGATGTGCACAGGTAATAGACAGGCACAGGTAATAGATGTGCATAGGTAATAGACAGGCACAGGTGATAGACAGGCACAGGTAATAGATGTGCACAGGTAATAGACAGGCACAGGTAATAGATGTGCACAGGTAATAGACAGGCACAGGTAATAGATGTGCATAGGTAATAGACAGGCACAGGTGATAGACAGGCACAGGTAATAGATGTGCACAGGTAATAGACAGGCACAGGTAATAGATGTGCACAGGTAATAGACAGGCACAGGAAATAGATGTGCACAGGTAATAGACAGGCACAGGAAATAGACAGGCACAGGAATAGACAGGCACAGGTAATAGATGTGCACAGGTAATAGATGTGCACAGGTAATAGACAGGCACAGGTAATAGATGTGCACAGGTAATAGACAGGCACAGGAAATAGATGTGCACAGGTAATAGACAGGCACAGGAAATAGACAGGCACAGGAATAGATGTGCACAGGTAATAGACAGGCACAGGTAATAGATGTGCACAGGTAATAGACAGGCACAGGTAATAGATGTGCACAGGTAATAGACAGGCACAGGAAATAGATGTGCACAGGTAATAGACAGGCACAGGAAATAGACAGGCACAGGAATAGACAGGCACAGGTAATAGATGTGCACAGGTAATAGACAGGCACAGGTAATAGATGTGCACAGGTAACAGACAGGCACAGGTAACAGACAGGCACAGGTGATAGGCAGGCACAGGTAATAGACAGGCACAGGTAATAGACAGGCACAGGAATAGATGTGCACAGGTGATAGACAGGCACAGGAACAGACAGGCACAGGTAATAGACAGGCACAGGTAATAGACAGGCACGGGTAATAGACAGGCACAGGTAATAGATGTGCACAGGTAATAGACAGGCACAGGTAATAGATGTGCACAGGTAATAGACAGTCACAGGTAATAGATGTGCACAGGTAATAGACAGGCACAGGTAATAGATGTGCATAGGTAATAGACAGGCACAGGTGATAGACAGGCACAGGTAATAGATGTGCACAGGTAATAGACAGGCACAGGTAATAGATGTGCACAGGTAATAGACAGGCACAGGTAATAGATGTGCACAGGTAATAGACAGGCACAGGTAATAGACAGGCACAGGTAATAGATGTGCACAGGTAATAGACAGGCACAGGTAATAGATGTGCACAGGTAATAGACAGGCACAGGTAATAGATGTGCATAGGTAATAGACAGGCACAGGTGATAGACAGGCACAGGTAATAGATGTGCACAGGTAATAGACAGGCACAGGTAATAGATGTGCACAGGTAATAGACAGGCACAGGAAATAGATGTGCACAGGTAATAGACAGGCACAGGAAATAGACAGGCACAGGAATAGACAGGCACAGGTAATAGATGTGCACAGGTAATAGATGTGCACAGGTAATAGACAGGCACAGGTAATAGATGTGCACAGGTAATAGACAGGCACAGGAAATAGATGTGCACAGGTAATAGACAGGCACAGGAAATAGACAGGCACAGGAATAGATGTGCACAGGTAATAGACAGGCACAGGTAATAGATGTGCACAGGTAATAGACAGGCACAGGTAATAGATGTGCACAGGTAATAGACAGGCACAGGAAATAGATGTGCACAGGTAATAGACAGGCACAGGAAATAGACAGGCACAGGAATAGACAGGCACAGGTAATAGATGTGCACAGGTAATAGACAGGCACAGGTAATAGATGTGCACAGGTAATAGACAGGCACAGGAAATAGATGTGCACAGGTAATAGACAGGCACAGGAAATAGACAGGCACAGGAATAGATGTGCACAGGTAATAGACAGGCACAGGTAATAGATGTGCACAGGTAATAGACAGGCACAGGTAATAGATGTGCACAGGTAATAGACAGGCACAGGTAATAGACAGGCACGGGTAATAGACAGGCACAGGAAATAGACAGGCACAGGAATAGACAGGCACAGGTAATAGATGTGCACAGGTAATAGATGTGCACAGGTAATAGACAGGCACAGGTAATAGATGTGCACAGGTAATAGACAGGCACAGGAAATAGATGTGCACAGGTAATAGACAGGCACAGGAAATAGACAGGCACAGGAATAGATGTGCACAGGTAATAGACAGGCACAGGAAATAGATGTGCACAGGTAATAGACAGGCACAGGTAATAGATGTGCACAGGTAATAGACAGGCACAGGAAATAGACAGGCACAGGAATAGACAGGCACAGGTAATACACAGGCACAGGTAATAGACAGGCACGGGTAATAGACAGGCACAGGAAATAGACAGGCACAGGAATAGATGTGCAAGGAAAAGCAGAGAGGAGGAGAAACCACAACCCAGTGGAGGCTGTGGGTGGGAGTTGGAGGGAGGAATCCAAGAAGGCTTTCCGGAGGGAGTGACACCCACACCTACCTGAATCCCAGAGAGTTGGGAGAAGCTTTCAGGATGGTGGGATGGTGGGAATGGAGAGAGAGGGGTAATGTACTAAAACTGAGACATATGTGAGAGTTTGGGGGCTCTGGAGAGAGAGAGAGAGAGAGAGAGAGAGATTGATTTTGTCTTGAGGAACCAAGAACTGCTTAGCAGCCTGGAGGAGGCAGCCTCTGATGAGAAGGGCTTTCCCAGGCCAAGGCTGGGAGGAAGGGCATTCCTGGCTGGGGAACAGCAAGGGCAAAGCAAAGAGGCCATGCCTGAGGGCAGGGTTTGAGCTCAGTGTGCCCAGGAAAGCAGCAGGAATAACGGAGAGGAACTATGAGTGTTTAGAGCTTATGCGGAGTAAGACTAGGAGGCTGGGGAGCAGGTGCCTCATGATTGATGTGTGTACCGTGTATAAACTCGCTTAACTTAACAACCCTCTGAGGCCAGCACTCTTACCATCTCCTTCTGCAGATGCGGGAACCAGCCCAGCGAGGTTACACCTGTGCTCCAGGCTGCACAGCAGGGAAAGGCGGGGCTGGGCTTGGAGGCTGGGCAGGGGGACTCCTCAGCCAGCGTGCTCCCCTGAGACCAGCCACTCTCACAGAGCCCTGGCTTCTCGAAGGGCGTGCTCAGCCCTTTCCCATGGACCCCCTCCTCCCCACCTATTCACCTGGCAGCCTCTGAGGCCACAAGTTAGTGCTGGGATGACCTACAAGAATGCCAGGAGATTTTTGTCTTCTCCCAAAGGGAAAGGGAAGAGCAGTGGCTCCAGGGAGGCCTGGAGAAGCCCAGAGCAGCCAGAGAAAGGCACGTCTGAGAAGGGGGCATGGGATGTATTCAGGCAGGGTCTTCCTTCCACCTTAGGCGTAAGACTTTCGTCAGAAGCATCGCGTTTTTAATATGGTGTGTGTGATAGGGAGGGAGCCATCTACAGATTGGTGCACTTCTTACTCTATCCCATTCACTCCCTCACATTCATTCTATGAGGCTGATATCGCACCCTCATCTGAGAGGTGAGAGGAGGCCAGAGGTGGCAAGTAACTGTGCCTGAGGTTGCCCACCTCATAAATGACAGAGCCAGGACCCGCCTCCCTCTTACCGGTTCTCTGTCTGAGATCTTTATATCCATGGCAGAATTCTGTTCAGATGTGCTGCCTCCTCCCTCACGCCCTGCCGTCCCCTCCCCCTCCCGTCCTGCTCCCACAATCTGCAGTCGACATATGCCTCCAAAAGGCAACAAGCCACACACGTCCTCAGAGGTTTTTCAAAGCATAGTATCATTATGCGAGAGCTGAGAAAATCACTGCTAGAAACACCCTCTGCCTTCCCCAGCCCTGGCACGTTTGGCAGAGCCGTCCTAAGCCATGAATCTGAGCACCTTCAGGCACCAAAGACCTTGGCCGTTCTCCATCCCCTGCCTCTGGGAGGGAGGCCTCTTCAAGACCCTGAGCGGGAGGAGGGCTCCTGGGTTTCTCTCTCTCTGGCCACGGCCACGGGTCTAATAAGCTCTCCACAGGGGGAGGCCCAAGGGCAGTGCCACCCTGCACAGCTCCAGGGGCGCCCTCTCACTGCTGCTGGCACTTCCTCTCCCGACTGGCCTCAGGCCTTTCGTTCCCCACCGCCCTGCCCAGCTGCCCTCTGGGGCTTTGCCCTGGCTCCAGGCCTGCCCACTCGAAGCCTTATGGCATATGAGGCCCAAACTCGAGCCTGACTGTTGGCTGGACGTTGGGCAAGGCGGTCTGCTCGTCTGGAGTTCTTTCCAAGAGAAGCCCCAAGTGCAGCCCAGAAAATCAATAAGCAAATGAATAAGCAAATGCTGCTGTCTGCTGAGCCGATCTGGGACTCCCGGGCAAACATTTCAAATCAACAGCCGCTGCCACAGAGCATGCTGGGAACCAGGACACCTTTCTGGGTGGAATTTTCAAAGTCCCCATCTCTCCCAGAACTAGAGAGGAGGCTGGGCGGGGTGGCTGGGAGCAGCAGGGGGACCCGCGCTGCAGAGGAAAAGGCCTTTCCACAGAGCGGCATCTGCCATCCTCCCGGCTCAGTCCTCTGCTCCTGCTGAGAGCAGGCTCGGTGCTCAGCGGAGGAGCTTTGATCTGGCACTGCCCACGCGGATGTGGGTGACAAAGCAGCCTCAGTCACACGAGGCTCCAATTAAGGGAGCTGGCCCTTTCCTGCCGACTCCACTCGCAGTCACACAGCCGCTCTGCGCACTTCTCCGTGGGGCCCGCGGAGAGGGAGGCCAGGAGGATGCAGGGACTGCGGCTGCGGAGGGTGAGAGAATGGGCCAGGGAAGACCATACTCCAGCTCTGGGCAGCCACCCCCCAAGTCTTTCAGGCCCTGGCAGAGATCCCTGCACCCGCTCCCTCCTGCCAGGCAAGCAGGGGCCCACCCTTCGGCGCCCAGCAGCCAGGGCAGATGCAAACAGAGATGCCTGGGCAGCTGAAAGAGACTCACTCGGCCCTCAGGAGACCAGCCGGGGGCCTGCAGTGCCCTTTCCGAGCGCCTCCTCAAGGCCCGCGTCTTCCCTTTTGTGCTCACAAATGCCACCCAATCGCAGAGGCGGCCGAGGCTGAATTACAAGCAGAGAGTGTCTGCCTGGGGCGCTGGCCTCTGGGCTGTCTGCCAGGGCTGTCAGGCCGCCCAGACTTCAATACCAACAGAGCTCGGGAACAAGAGAACAGCTCCAGGACCCGCTTGGAAGCCCGGAGGGAATGACCCGTCTTGTGAGGCGGAGGAGCTCAGTCTGCCCCGGGCATTCTGACACGAGGCTGTCTGCGGGCCGGGCGCGGCTCCCCCGGTGGGCCCCGATGGCGTCCGCAGCCAGAGGAGCCGGCCTTGTGAGCGCTGCCCGGTCTGCCTGCCCGCGGCTCGTGCTGCTAATGAGCGGGGCCGTCTCCTCTGCCGCCCTCGGAAGAGGTCTCCCCCGCCACAGCTCCCAGCAAACCCTTCAGCCACACCCGGACACGTGGCGTGTTCTGCTCATAAAATGCACGTGTGAGAACCCTCCGCGGCTCGCTGTTGGCCCACAGAACAAGGTCGCGAGCAGCCCGGCCTCTGAGGGCAGGCCCACGTCTCCTTCTAAGCCCAGGGAAGCTGCGTGCGGTGGGTCAGAGCGCAGACCCGGCCAAATCCTAGCTCCCCTCACCAGCTGTGTGGCCCTGGGTGCCTCAGTTTCTTCGTCTGTAAAATGAAGGTGGAGAGTACCCGTGTCCACGGAGCTGCTGGGGATTAAATGAGTGAATGCACGTTAAGTGCCCAGAGCAGATCCCAGCAGGTAGGGAGAGAACGTTATTATTCTGAGAGAGCAAGGTGGCAGGCCTCCTGGGAGGGAGGTGTCCCGAGAGAGAGAGAGAGAGAGAGAGAGAGAGAGAGAGAGAGAGAGAGAGAGAGAGAGAGAGAGAGAGAGGGAGGGGAGCAGCCCAGAAACCACAGGCTGCTCCAGCCTCCTCGGGGGATGTGGGAGAAAATTGGGAACCCGCTGGGCTCACACGTGAGCTTTACACACGGTCAAACATGCTGGTCCGAAGTGTGTGGCTTCATTGGTTCTTACGTGTGTGCACCCTCTTCCCATCGGCACGCAGTTCACCATGCTCCCATCCCCCAGAGTGTCCCTCCAGGGACATCTGCCTTCTACAGGCCTCATCGGAGCAGGGCCCACACCTGAGGGGGCATGAAATAACCTATCGGGGTGCCACTTTATCCCATCCTTTCCATTTCTCCTCTTGTGTGCGCTATATAATATACATACTATGTTAGCACATTTGTGCCTCTTTAGAATTTGTTAATAGACAAACATTTGCTGGAGATAGATGCTGAATCTCTCCTGCTCATCCCCTGGACATTCTCCCCCACCCCTTCTCTTCCCCTCCCTCCCCCCTCCTCTGGGTTCAGGTGGGATTTGGCTAATGGAAGAGCCCATGAAGAGGAAGGCACAATCAGGAAATTTATTCCGAGGGCTCCCTCCCTGCAGGGTCAGCTCAGGAGGCTGGTCCCCTACTGGGAAGCTCCCCACAGATTGGCCCTCTCCCTCCAAATGTTGGTAACCACCCGGATGCCACCCTGTGGACTGCGGGCTGGTCGCAGCTCCGCTGACACACTGCCCTGTGGCCCCTCCATATCACACCTGCATAGAGACCTTTGCAAATAAGCCTCCTGAGTTCACCACCCAGAGCGGTGCCCAGCCTGGACCCCGAGGGCAGTCCTCCTCCTCCTGGGGAGTGAGGGCAGCAGTGATGCTGGCTCTCCCCTCCAGGCCTGGGGGCAGCATCCTTTAGAAAGTCTGTCTCTGGAGGAGATGGAGTTTACCAAACTCCCACTGTGGTTCAGCAAGGGCCCTTCCTCCATCCCCTCCCAGAGACTTCTGGGACTCAGCTCTCCCTCCCTTTATCCCATCCCATCCCATCCCCTCCCCTGCCCTCCCATCCCATCCCATCCCATCCCCTCCCCTCCCAGAGACCACTGGGACTCAGCTCCTCCCATCCCATCCCATCCCATCCCATCACTTCCCCTCCCCTGCCCTCCCATCCCATCCCAGCCCATCCCATCCCCTCCCCTCCCCTGCCCTCCCATCCCATCCCATCCCCTCCCCTGCCCTCCCATCCCATCCCAGCCCATCCCATCCCCTCCCCTCCCCTGCCCTCCCATCCCATCCCATCCCCTCCCCTGCCCTCCCATCCCATCCCATCCCCTTCCATCCCCTCCCAGAGACCACTGGGACTCGGCTCCTCCCATCCCATCCCATCCCATCCCCTCCCCTGCCCTCCCATCACATCCCATCACATCCCATCCCCTGCCCTCCCATCACATCCCATCCCATCCCATCCCCTCCCCTGCCCTCCCATCACATCCCATCCCATCCCATCCCATCCCCTCCCCTCCCCTGCCCTCCCATCACATCCCATCCCATCCCATCCCCTGCCCTCCCATCCCATCCCATCCCATCCCATCCCATCCCCTGCCCTCCCATCGCATCCCATCCAATCCCATTCCCTCCCCTCCCCTCCCCTGCCCTCCCATCCCATCCCATCCCATCCCATCCCCTCCCCTCCCCTCCCATCCCATTCCATTCCCTCCCAGAGACCACTGGGACTCAGCTCCTGGCATCCTATCCCATTCCATCCCCTCCCATTCCATCCCCTCCCCCTCCCTCCCATCCCATCCCATCCCATCCCATTCCATCCCCTCCCCTTCCCTCCCATCCCATCCCATCCCATCCCATCCCCTCCCAGAGACCACTGGGACTCAGCTCCTCCCTCCTTTCCATCCCCTCCCATTCCATCCCCTCCCCTTCCCTCCCATCCCATCCCATCCCATCCCATCCCATCCCATTCCATCCCCTCCCAGAGGCTGCTGGGACTCAGCTCCTCCCCTCCCATCCCCTCCCCTCCCAGAGACTGCTGGGGGTTCAGCTCCATTTGCTCAGAGATGAAGCCTCACCCTGGGCAGGGGGGCGGGGGTAACAGTTTGTTTACAAAGGGGCAGGCAGGGGAGGAAAGCCGACTGGTGTTGCAGCCCCAGAGCTGGCAGAAGGGGGAGCCTGCAGAGAGTAATGGTGTGGAAGGCTGCGTGGCCATGGGTAACTGGGTAGACGGAACAGCCAAGCACGGGTGACCTCTGGGGAGGGAGCTAAGGAAATAAATTCCCTGTCCTCACTCCTCTCCCTTCCCCCAAACCCAGCGGGAGCCCTGGGGATGGCAGCCATCTGGCCAGGAGCAGGTGTTGGAATGGGGTGCGGATCTGGACGGGCAAAGAGGTCAGCCCAGAAACCACCGCTGTTCTGGGAAGGCCTTGCCTCTCCACGGGCTCCCTGCCCCTGGCCCTCAGTCCAGCTTCACTCCCAGGGGGAGTGGTGAGAAGTTGTGGCCCTGGAGGAGGGAGCTGCGGGGATCCAGGCACATAAAATGTCAGAGCAAGAAGTCAGAGCTTCCCCCAGGCAGCAGGGCAGGCAGCTGGCAATGATCGGCTAAGTCCAGGCTGAGCGCGTGGAGCGGGATCCAGGAAGGAGGTGGGAAGGGGCGTGCTGGCTGTCTGATCCCTTCCCACCTCAAAGAGACTGGAGGCCACAGATAAAAACGCCGGTGCCTCCAGCAAGCCGGTTAGGAAGCGCTCCCGCACCTTTGTTCATTGCAAAACACACAGATCAGGGTCTGGCTTCCTCTCCAGAGCCCCGGTTCTGGTGTTTATGATGAGCTCGGGAGAGTGGGGAGGCTGGCGGAGAAGGGGGAGGGGAGTTCTGTCTCCCTCCTCCCTGGGCAAAAGGGCCCCCTCCCCCGCAGGCCCATCTCCGCATCTGTCTAACTGCAGCCCCCGGCAGCTTCTGGCAGTTCTCTGGCCACAGAGTTCCCATCTGGAAAGTGGCAGGAGTGGCACCCACTCAGCGGTTCTTGGAAGAGAAAATGTGACAGCGCGTGTGGAAGCGTATGTTCCTCCCACATGAGGGTGGGGCAAGTGCTGTTGTCTGGAATCCCTGAAAGGAATATTCGTCCCTAAACGTGTCTCCTTGAAATAAGGGGGCCTTGCCCTAGGGATTCCTGTGTTCCTCGAGCCCAGCTTTGTTTGTGGGCTGCCCCTGAGCCTGGGAGGGGATTGAGGCTGGCCCTTGGGCTGGAGATCAAACAGGAAACAACTGAGAACTCTGGAAGGGACACAGTTTTCGTGTTTAGGCATCTTGAGAAGGGAGATTGGGCCCCGGGAGGCAGGGTGCACGGGTAAGCAGCAAGGGCGAGTGAGAATTCCAGGTACGAGGCAGAGACTGGAACAGGAACACCACCCAGATCACCCAGGAGGGGGCAGGGCGGAGCGCTCTGTGTGGGGGGACAGGCTGGCAGGAAGGGCCAGATCCAGGCCCCGCAGCCCATGCTCCCCTCCGAGTGTCCTGATAACCACCCCTGCGAAGCCCTTCCCAGCCCTTGTCTGTCTTGCCATCTTTCCTCTGCCCCCCGAGTCAGTCCAGCAGTTTGCTTTTATTCTTTGTAAAGCTGCTGAGGTCAGCAGGAGAAAAATGATACCTTCCTGCCAGTTCTAGAGTCCCTACAAATTCATCATTCATTCATTCATTCATTCATTCATCCATCCATCCAACAAATATTTATTTAATTCCTCATCTGAGGATATTTTTTCCATTGATTTTTAGAGAGAGTGGAAGGGAGAGAAAGAGACAGAGAGAAATACCAATGTGAGAGAGACACATCGATTGGTTGCCTCCCATATGTCTCCTTCCCAGGGGCAGGAGTCTGTAACCAAGATACCTGCCCAGAATTGAACCAGGAACCCTTCAGTCCACAGGCCAACACTCTATCCATTAAGCCAAACCAGCTAGGGCCATCCAACAAATGTATATTGAACATCTACTATTTATATTCACTACTCCAGTCTTAGGGGATACATCAGTGAATAAAATGGAGCTTCATTCTGGTGAAAAGAGACAGTAAACAAAATATATAGTAAATGCTATGCAGGAAAATAAGGAGTCTGGGGAGGGGTCCAATCTGAAGAGAATAGCCAGAGAGGATCTCATCAAAAAGGTGACTTCGGAGTGAAGACCTGAAGGAGGTGAGAGAGGACATGTAAGCATCTGGAGGATGGCACAAAGATCCTGAGATGGGCATGTGCCTGGCAGGTCTGACCAACTGCCAAAGGCTGTGTAGCTGGGGTAGAGTGAGCAAGTGAGAGTAGTAAGAGGGGAACCCAGTGGGGAGGACGGTGTAGGCCACTATAACATCCTCATCCTCAACTGGACTCTCCACACTGTGCTCAGTTTCCCTCTTTCTAGACACACCTTAATTTTTTCCAAAATCAAATCCCCTGTACCAATCAGGTTGCGCATAGCTGCAAGTAACAGAAAAACCAACTGGCAGTGGCTCAAATCATAAGGACATCCTATATAATAAAAGCCTAATATACTAAGTGTCTGGTCATC